GAGCCATCAGATCCTTCCCATGCTGCAGCGTGGGGTGTGTGGATCCAGCATACACGCGCTCTCCATCTAGGACAACTTGGCAGGACATCTGTAGATGCCAGTTCCACATAGGTGAGAAGTAGTGTCTGCAAATAGAATAATTCACTAGTGTTAATGGTCTGTCGGTCTTCTTGATGATCTCCTGTTTAAATATGGATTTATTTTGAATTTACCAAGCCTTACTTTGCTTAGTTTCTGAAACCTGATCCGATCGCACCACACCATGATACGGCCGCAAGTTTCAGCGGTCCCCTCCCTGCCAGCTGTGCTGGAGAACAAGCAGCTGGTTGTGCCAAGCAGAGCAGCCCCGACTGTGAGCTGTGATCAGAGGAGAATATTCCATTGTAACGCTCTGTTGTGTCCTGTGTCTCTCGCTGCAGAGGTAAAATTACATAATAGTAGCAAGCTGCAGTGACTCACCACACCGCTCGTGTGATTTACAGCAGCTCCCTAAACGATGTTTGTGCTCAGCATGCCACATAACCCATAATTGCAAACATGTGAGTAGACAAAAAGTACATTTTTCCAATTCCATGTTATTTAGCATCAAGCAATCTCTGATGACTAAAACAGATGAAAATCTCTTTGTATGGATATATTGTCACCTTTGATCTAATTCTTTTTATCTTGCTGTCTCCCTCTCGATGAAGTATTTTCTACAAATTCTTTGTCTTACTGTCGTCTTTTTTTTTTTCATGCTATCCAAGGATATTTAATTTTTGCCCTATTCCAGCATCTCTTGCCAAGATTAATACTCCAGCTGCCTGGAAACTCTGAATTCCTTTGTTTTGAATTCACTCTTGTCGTCTTTGAACGACTATACATCTTCTCTCCTATCTCTGTGTCTGATCTTTCAAAATCATTTCTACATATTTTAGCCAAACTTTTCTCATGGATACTTCTCCTTTTCATCTGTTTGCTACTTTTCTATCAGGTCCCTGTCTATATTCAGCCTGCACCCCCCTTTCCTCTTCCAAATTGTCGCCTCCCCCCTGCCTTTTCTGTAGGAAACTATTTCTTGCATCGATTCTTCATTTATCAATTGCAAATCAAGAGGTAATCTTTTCTGTCTTCCTTTACTACAGGCAGGATCAGCCTCAGTCACTCCTGATGGGTAGTTTTCAGTGTTTTCTTCATTTTTATTTTTTTTTCCACTGTTGGGAAATTTCACAGCTTCCCATGCCTTCAAATTCAGCGCTCTGATGTTGCTCCGGTAGAAGCTTTCCATCTGTACAGGGAATGTAGGTTAAGGCAATTTAAGCCCATTGCTAATTGTCCTATCATAAAAGTGGAGAACGGATTATCCCTTCTCCCCCCTTCCCTGATATCTTTTATGTGCATAAAGGTTGCTATCTTTTCTCCTGTCAGTCTTTTTCTATCACCGTATTTCCTTCAATTTTCCCCCATTAGCCACGGTTCCTGGAACTGCTGTTCCTGGTGCTCCACACCAGGCAGCCCAATCGATGTGCTATCGAAGGGCAATTCTGGCTGCTGCCTACAAGTTTTTGCAGTTATGGGAAAGCTTCTTGCTCATGACTTCCACATGTGATGGTATCTAGCTGTTTGGAAATGCTGCTTCTGACATATCGAAGATTCTTTGGTTTGTAGATGGCAGTTCAAGAAGAGAGCAGGGGTATTTAGCGTTCAGTACTCTGAAGTCCTGGGCAGCTAGTAGCGTTAGAGAAAGGCAGTACCCTTTTTGGAGTGGGGTGGGAGGCTTTTGCTTTCAAACTTGCTTAGATTTGACTTTCTTGAAAAACTTCTGTAGTTTTAAAATGTTCCAGTTAGTTATCTGTGAGCATTTAACAGTTTCCCTCAGGAAGTTTGTCAGAGAAATGGGAGAAATGAATCAATCTCATTCAAACTCCAAAACCCTTTGTTCATAAGTAATCATTTATAGGCAGGGTGCATGAATTCAGGCAAAGTTGTAGTTGAAAGGTAACCCATAAAGCAAGCACAATGTGAAATCTGTGCTAAATTTATGGACATCGTGTTGCTTTTTTTTATTATTTAAAAAATACTACTTATGTTTTAAAAAAGACTCTTGACATTTGAAGCTCTTCTACTCATGTTTTCCTGTCTCAGTGAAGTGGTTCTCCATACAATTCAACTTCAAGAAGCCCTTGAGGATTTACTGAAATCAGTCAGGGATTTTTGCACATACGAGTGTGTTCCCTTCTACCTTTGTATTCTGTAGTTATTTTCTTAAGTAAAAGTCTGGTAATCATTGAGACATAAAGGTTGTGATCATTTGGAAATTATTATACCAAATTGGCATTTCTTTCGCTGTGTCTGTAAAAACCTACTACGTACCGGTGTATGTCTGGAGAGCCGGGGATCTCAAAGAGTTGGTAAATGCTGTGGACCTGGACATCAGTACTGGCTGCTGTGGGTCATTGTTGCTCAGTGGAGTTGCTTCAAAGCATAGCAAATAAACTAATCTATTTTCAAAGAGGTTATTAAAAATAATAGCTATCATAGAATCATAGGATGGTTTGGGTTAGAAGGGACTTCAAACCCCACCTAGTTCCCCCCCCCTGCCATGGGCAGGGACACCCTCCACTAGCCCAGGTTGCCCAAAGCCCCATCCAACCTGGCCTTGACCACTGCCAGGGAGCCAGGGGCAGCCACGGCTTCTCTGGGCACCCTGTGCCAGGGCCTCAGCACCCTCACAGGGAAGGATTTCTGCCTCACATCTCATCTCAATGTCCCCTCCTGCAGCTTCAGGCCATTCCCCTTGGCCTGTCACTCCCTGCCCTTGTCACCAGCCCCTCTCCAGCTTTCCTGGAGCCCCTGCAGGGACTGGAAGGGGCTCTAAGGTCTCCCCGGAGCCTTCTCTTCTCCAGGCTGACCCACCCTAACTCTCTCAGCCTGTCTCCATAGCAGAGGTGCTCCAGCCCTCACATCATCTCCGTGGCCTCCTCTGGACTCGCTCCAACATTGTTAAACAAACACGTGAAGAATGCAAAGAGATTGTACAACAGTGCTTGAGACCTCTTGGACTTGTCAAAATCATTTAAATTAAGTATGTTTTCTGGGTTGTACATCCCTGACTTTGATAAAAGGTGATAACTTTTACTAGTGAAACTTTAAACAAAAGTAAAAAAACCAGCCAAGGGGACAGAGTGTACCCTCAGCAAATTCGCTGATGATACTAAGCTGGGAGGAGTGGCCGATGCACCAGAAGGCTGCGCTGCTGTTCAGGAAGACCTGGACAGACTAGAGAATTGGGCAAAGAGGAACCATATGAAATTCAATGAGGGCAAGTGATCTGTTTACCCTGGAGAAGAGAAGACTGAGAGGGGATCTGATCAACGCTTATCAATATCTAAAGGGTGGGTGTCTAGAGGATGGGGCCAGACTCTTCTCAGTGGTGCCCAGTGACAGGACAAGGGGCAACGGGCCCACGCTGGGACACAGGAAGTTCCATCTCAGTATGAGGAAAAACTCCTTCACTTTGAGGTGACCGAGCACTGGGCCAGGCTGCCCAGAGAGGTTGTGGAGTCTCCTTCTCTGGAGAGATTCAAAACCCGCCTGGACGCCATCCTGTGCAACCTGCTCTGGGTGATCCTGCTCTGGCAGGGGGGTTGGACTAGATGATCTCCAGAGGTCCCTTCCAACCCCAACCAGTCTGGGATTCTGTGAATCTGTAAACGCACAAAGCAATTTTTGCCTTGACAGGATATGGTAACTACCACACTGTGTGGAGCAGCATTTTATCTAAAACCTGAAACCTTTATCTACATTCTAGTCTTTTGTCTTGCACGCTATTGCAGTTGTTTTGTTCATGCCAAAGGAAGACTAAAGGTAGTAAAGTATGTATATGCACGATCACAAAGCAGGCGTGTGTCTGGGATGGGCTAATAGGCTGATTTTTGCCCTTTTGCTCTTCTGATGTTATTTGTGCTGATGTTAGTTGATATGTCTTTGCTGGTGTTTGGGCTGTTCCCCCAGAGCCAGCTGGTCCGAGCCCCAGCGCTGGACTGGGTCTAAGCCTGCCCTGAGCCTTGGGGAGGCAAAGCTGAGCTCTAGATCGTGAGGGGAACAGAAGGATGTTCCCATCATCTCTTTGGAAATTCTCTCAACAGGATTTAATAAAAGTATACCAATATTTTTCCTAGCTTTCAGATATTTTAGTTTGCTTTGTTGCATCTGTAATTAATTAATTTATTTATAATTCTTTAATTTAAAGTGGCAGAAACATGCTAGGCTATTGCTCTGTCCATAACATATTTTTCAGTAGATTTTTTTTTTTTTTGCAAAGAATATTAGGATGTGCAAATGTGCTTGTGTAGCTGTCCTCATCCAAAAATGCACTCATAACAAGGCAGTCCGTGTTGAGGATTCTGCGCTTCTCTTCTGAGTCAGCGGTGGCTGAGTGGGCGGGCAGGCCATATGCTCTGTCAGGGTCGTTTTGCAATGAAATACTTTTAATAAAGAGCCTCTGGTATGTGATCTCTTCTGGTTTCAGGCAGGGGACTCTGGAATTAGCTTGCAGCAATCTTCCCTTCTGGTGTTGGGACCCTTGTGCTGTGAGCACCACGTCCCGGTAAAGCTAGATCAGCTCCAAACTGGGGCTGTCCCATGGCTGCACAGGGGCTGCTCCGGAGTTCTCTGACATGCTCTGTGGGATCCCTTTCCTTCTTTTTCAGAGGGCTTTCGGTGCGTGCTGAGCTCTCTGAGCTGGTGGATCATGTTCAGGCTGCCAGGCCAGCCCATCTCTGTGGGTCTTCAAGAAATGTGCATGCCTCGTGCAAAGGATGTAATAAAGGATGGAAACTGGAAGGATGGTGGATGTAGATAACTCTTACTGAACGGGCTGCTGTGCTGGAAAACCCTCCTGGAGGGCTTAGCAGTTATCTGGGCCTACGGCTCATTTTTATGAGTTACGTGCACACTCTCAGATCTCTTTGAACATTCAGTTGGATGTGATGTAACTGTGGCTGCTTCCTCTTTTTCAGGAGACGACTTTTCATTGATACAACAGGAAATCTATATGGTTAAAGAATGCAAACATTGCAACATTGTCGCCTATTTTGGGAGCTATCTCAGGTAAACCCCATTTTTTTTTTTACCTGCATTTCTGTTAGTTCTTTCCCAAGACAAGGCTCAGGCTGGTTTAGTACTTATATCCTCTCTCAGTGTTCTCTAGGTTGAATTCGCTTCAGTTCCCAGTTGGCTTTAAAAAAAAAAAAAAAAAAGTGACTAATACTTTGTTTTCTCTGCTGGCCAAAAGGCTGGAATATTTTTATCACTAGGAACAGAAAGAAACTTTTCCCCTAGAGATTCTTGCAACATATCCAATCCCACTCACTTGCGGGGCAGATTTTAAACATTTATCACTTTTAATATAAAACTAGCTCGTTATTTATCCAGAGCAGAATTGCTTTTAGATATTTTATTTGATGGTAGTCTTCTGTGCTGTAGAAGTACAACCAGTGAGTTGTAAGAGCAAAACCCTAAATCTGAGCTGCTGGTAATAACATTTCTCATAGTTCTGGGTTAACAGATACGATGTACTGAGAGGCAGAAACAAGGTGATGCCAGCCGGCCGCATCTTCAAGTGCACACGATAAATGTTATATAGAAAATTGGGGAGTATTTTCCATTTCCGTGGAACTCTGCCGTTTATCAGTTGGCTCTGTGGGAATACATATCACCACTTTGCCTGCTTGGTCTTTTTCTGTGAGGCTTCCTCTTTAGATTTCTTAGAGGGCTGCATTTTTTTAAGTAATCTGTACAGCCTAAATGGACTTCCAAACTGGAAAAAAATGGCTAAATTTCTAAATCCCAGTCTCCCTTTTGGAGGCCATGAAGAGTGTTTTAGATATAATTAGGTAATTTCAATTTAAGATTGAAACTGAGTTTAGTGTGTTATCTAATGGAGGCTTGCTGATAGCAGATAAACCTCAGTATTTCTTCTGCATGTTCTTCATTGCAGTTAGGAGGCAAGAGTTAAAGCAACAGCTTCTAGGTCTGATAACATTTAAAGATTTCTCAGTGACTTTGGCATAAAATGTTCATTTTGATAGGTGAGAATTTATATTGAGATTATTAATAACATGTAAAACATCTCACAGCTAGTCCTGTATCAGAATGTCTTTTTTAACAAAGATGATCAAGACTGATAGAAAATACTTTAAATAGTGAACTCTGTTGTTATACAGATCAATCAGCTTCTGATGCCTGTGTTTTAAATTTCTTTTGATAGCCGTGAAAAGCTGTGGATATGCATGGAATACTGCGGTGGGGGATCCCTCCAAGATATTTACCATGGTACTTTGAAACTTATTTTAACATTTGTACCTTTTGGAAGCTTTCTGCAGAGAAAAAAAATAAATAATAAGCCAACTAATGAGGAATGGTTGGTACTGGCCAGGCACTGCATGTATTTTTTCTTAGGGCATGAACAGTGGTTTTTTAGCTACAGTCAAAAGATTTTGTTGAGAGCACTTCTCAGATATGGTGACCATCATTTTGGGCAAATACCCTATCATTCTAGGACAGGACATGCTTTTTTTTTTTAATCATCACACTGTTTATTTTTCTTCACGATGCTTATGGGACTGACTCAAAGAGCTTGAGTTATTCCAGTGGAGAGCTCTTCAGTTGCTGTACGCTGGGAGCTTGCCCGTGTCTCAATGCCGTATGCTGGAGCAGTTTATCTGCTTTCCAAAGGGGTGGGAAAAAACCCTCTAAAAAGTTCACAACCAGAAATCACATTTATTGGATATGCAGACTGTACATGATGAGAAGAAGGAGTTTGCACTGGGAAATCTCAAAATTTGATTTTAAAGGGTAAAATTTACTCTTTTTCCTGCTCCTGTGCAATACCATACTACTCTTTTATTATTATTTTCCCCTCTGAGGTTTCATCTAGACTTATTGATTCTGTAGAAGGATTTATTGGGGTTGCTGGAAAAGCAGTCTGGGGACTTGCTCTGCCTTCAAATGATAACATGGAGTTTTAGAATACCAGACCGCTGTCTGCTTTATTTTTCAGCCAGTTAGTAAAATAGCTTTAAAACAATTCTAAGTCCCATAGGCCCCTAGTATAGAACATTGCTGTTTCAGATATTAAAAAATTAGCAGAAGTCACTTTTATTGTTTTTTACCTTCCTCAGAATACAGGATATTGCATTACTACGAAGTCACTTGTAAAATGATAATTAGATTTCTGTCAAAACAGATTTTCTTCTCACTGTGGGTATTGTCTTCTGTTACTGTGCTGGGTTTTTTTTTTACAGAAAGCCTTTCTGTAAAACAAGCAAACAAAACCCTCTTCTCAGCTCAGTGTAAAACACAGTTCATGTAAAATCGGTCTTTGACTTTTGTGTGGAGATACCACTTTTTGGCTGCTTCACAATGTTATTTGTGTGTTGTATATTGTAGACTTACACTCTCTTTAATTTTTTATTTTTATTTTTTTTTTTCAGTAACAGGCCCTCTGTCAGAGTTACAAATTGCGTATGTATGCAGAGAAACTTTACAGGTACTGTACTTCTGCAGGTATACAATGAAGTGTTTCCTCCACATACAGAAAGTAGATACAGAAGATGATTTCAGAAATCACTGCTGTACCATCACTTACATTTGTAAGCGCTGGGAATCTAGCTGAAAGCAATGATCCAGGGTTTATCTGTTAGTTTCCATATTGTAAATAAAAATTAGCAAGAAACTCTAGTAGCGTAGTGCAAATATTTGCTTAAACTCATTGTCGGAGCAGTGTTCTGTGCTGTAATTTGCAAAGGAGTTTACACGAGCAGATCCAGTTTACACAAGGATCCCACTGCAGCACCAAAATGCTAAAACTCTGTCCTGCTCCTTTCTGTTCGGTGGCCCAGCAGGGGACTGGTCTTCGCAGGCTGTGACCACAGTGTTGTCTGGGCTTTTTTCATCCATTGTTCTTACAGTGATTCAGTGCAGCAGTTGGTTAGGATAAATTTTTGAATTTCACTGCAAAAAACAGCTAATACCTAGTAGGCGAGGGTAAGTAGCTTAGTAATGAAAAAAAGGCACATTTTAAACTGCCTGCTTCATCTGTGGCAGTAAGTGCTAATAATTCGTAGAGGAAAAACACTGCAACCGGGTGACTAAAATTCTGTTTCATTTTGTGATTGCTAAAAACTGTAGCAATGCAAGATAAGATGATGCGGGCAGCTTGGTTTTTTGACTGAGTTTTTCTTCCCCCACTGTGCGTATCCATGAATAATTCCATGAGGGAATCACGGGGATGCACACCTTTCCCTGAAGCAGTGGCTGAACTGGTCGCTGCCAGAGGCAGGGGTGTAGACCTGTGAACTAATCTGCTCAGCATTTCTATTCCTGAGCCCTTCTGTATTGCTGGAAGGGTAGCTAAAAGGCTAAACACCTGCTGGTTGAAACCTTCAGGACTTCAAATAATACAGTTAATTTTAGTAAAGGGAATAGGTTATGTACCTTGAGGTTTGTTTTGAAAATACGTATATATCTATGTAAAATGTTACACCAGGGCTGGCTTAAGCAAGTCTTCACGTGTATTCACTGGAGCTGGAAGAGCTGAGGAAGAGAATCCACTGTACCTCTTATCTGCAAATTTCAAATTTCTCCCCTTTCAAATAAAATACACAGAGTAATTTAAATTTATTAAATGGGACTGGCTTGGTAGTATGTTAACAAATGGCAAAATGAAGCATTGTATCTCTTTTATTTCCAGGGTCTTGCTTATTTGCATATGAAGGGCAAAATGCATAGAGATATCAAGGTAACTTGGAACTTTGAGAAACTTAGCTTAAACTTTCTAGTGCAGAAAAATATTGCTGATAAAAGCTTTTTTAACTTTCTATTTACTATGTTTAGGGTGCAAATATTCTACTAACAGACCATGGAGATGTCAAATTAGGTAAGTTCCCTGGATTGAATAGTAAGACAAAAAGAAACCGGGAGTGTTTTAATTTGATCGTTCAAAAGCTACAGTACCAACTGGGATACTTTGATTTAGCACGTTACCTTTTACTTTCATCTTTCCATTAAGACAAAGAAATAACCAGAATGTAGAGACCATGCCTCCCGAGAAGAATATTCAGCTTTTGTAAGACTTTGTTTTGTGTTGAACAGCACATGTACAGCAAAGATTGAGCTTGCTATGGATGATAAAGCATAATAAAGCAGATCTCCTGTATTGTTGCAGTCAGTTTTATTAGATATTGTTCTCAGCAGCATGAACCATTTGGTTTTGCACTGCAGGATGTTCTTGTTCTTATTTGGGGCAATAGTTGATGATAGAAAGGGTATACCCATGGGCTTGTGTACATGAGATGAGAAGTTTTGCATTCTATCAAGAAGTTACAGATAATTTCTTTTTTTCAACCACCAACCCTTGAAGCCTCCCAGGTTTCCCTGGAATTTGCCGGGTTGGGGTTACCTGGGTATCAATGTGTTTGTTCCTAGCCAGAATGGCACTTCTCCCTCGGAGCCTCCAAGGATCCACTGAGCCTGGCAGGCTGTGGAAAAGTGGGGTTCGATTCTGCATGTGCCTCTGGCCCAGCGTGTGGCGTTGGGCATTTCCATACAGGCAGAGAAGAGGAAACTCTCCTCCTTTGCAAGCGCTTTGAGGTCAATAGATGAAAACTCAGAAGAGCTCTGTATTACTGGCTTCTTCCAGCGACGTTTTGCATTTCGTGGGGCACAAAGAGGCTGGATTTCTTGTTATTTGAGTGTGCTGCCTTCAAAACCCCAATCTGCCTGTCTACTGCCTCATGTCACAGAAGTCTATGGGTAGTTAAGGCTCTGCAGGAGACAGGAGCAGATATACTGGGAGAAGGACTGAGATGCTCAGCGTCTTGCTGTGTCTTGTGTTGGAATTGGGGTGGTTGTGCACTAGCTGCATCATTACTTTTCAGAAAAGCTGTGTGGTTCAATACATTTACTCCCCTGTGGTGAACCAGGAGTGCTGTGCTAGGAAAGTATGGCTTTTTAAAGAGTAAAACCTTGAAACTGATAGGAGATTCCACTGACTGCATTAAACTTTGTTTACGCACGGATACCTTCCTTCTGCCTGCTAAGCTAGTTAGATTTGCCTACAATTATCCTCCAGCTATCATACTACAAATGCAATAAAAATAAAAAGGACTGAAATGATTTTTGGCTCTGCAAGACCACCTGATTATCTGCAGCTCTGAGAGCAAGGGATTATTGTCCCCTAGACAGTCTCCAGAAAGGAGAACAGATGGTCCCCCGCAGTTCCTCCATAAGTAACACAGAAATAGTACCGTTTCCAAAGCATGATGCTGTTTTTCCTCTTGAATATTAAATGAACATCCACTGAATTTTCTGAGGTTGCTTGGTTGCTGTCTTGTGAGATGGAAAAACAGCTAGGAGAGGAACAGGATCGTGAGCGAGCTGTATGTAGAAACTCAGCTTTTCAATTTGAAGTCATGTCAGAGAAGATGTTAGCTGATCTCATTATCAATCTTTAACTGTTGAAGCGGAATTAATTTTTAATTTGGATGAGAAATGTGATTGTTCTTTCATAATATGATACTTCCTAGAGTAGAATTCAGGTCTTAAAATGAGATGTCTAAGTCTATGATAATTCATTTTCCAGCTGACTTCGGTGTAGCTGCAAAAATAACAGCCACCATTGCGAAGAGGAAATCATTTATTGGTACCCCTTACTGGTAATAAACTACGTTGATTGCTGTGATTGCGTGCAAAGCCAAGTCTGTACTTATGCCAAGAATTCTAAAATACACGCACTGAAGTATACACACGTTTTTAAATTGCCTGAATTCCCTTTCTTCCAAGTAAAATGTCCAAAGGGTAAAAGTCTGGGAAGCGCTGATTGTCACTGACTTTTGCTGTAACGCAAGCTACCTGATATTTGAGGCAGGATTGCTGTTTCTCCCAAGTTTATTAATGCAGAACATTCTTTGTCTGGATACCTAATCCTCATTCAGTTTCTCAGTAGCTTCTTACGCTTTTAATGAATAAACTAAGCAATGTCTTTTCGATTTCTCTGCGGAAAGAGTTGTGAAGAAAAACAGATGTTAAACTATCTTTTAATCATCTTTACTGATTATTGTCCGTATAAGACAGCATTTAATATGCACATATATCACTGTAAATCTTGAGCTGGATTATATATGCAAATTTAACTGCTGCTGGTTTCTGGCATTACTGTGATGCAGTTGAGATGCCTAGGGCGGTATTCTTGGTACAGACTGAACGTGTGTGTACAGCTTAATCCAGACAATGGCTTCTAATTGTGCGCTGCCCTCTTTATCCTGTTTGGAGAACGAGGACTGAGGGCAGGAAGATTATCTGGTCATTAAAGCATTTCACCAGGAATCATGAGACTGGTTCTATTCCTAGTGCTGCTGTCCAGCCCATGACCTTGGGCAAAACCCCTGTGTGCTTCTCCGCTCCTCTAATGCCGGGTGAGGGGAGGGGGCCATCAGGCTTTTCCCTGGCTTACGCTCTTTGTGGGGTTTTCTGCTGTGGGGTTACGTGACGTGCTTTGTGCCTCCCCTGTGCAGGCACTGATTCAGAAGTGGTGGGTGCTCTCATTGAACGATGCCTTTGCTTTTAAAGGATGGCCCCAGAAGTCGCGGCGGTGGAAAAGAACGGTGGATATAACCAGCTCTGTGATATCTGGGCGGTTGGCATAACGGCGATTGAACTTGCAGAGCTTCAGCCACCCATGTTTGATCTTCACCCGATGAGGTCTGCTGGCTGGGGAGCTTGCTTATCTTCAGGACCCCCTTCAGTCCCAGGAGACAGAGTTTAACATTCTCCATAGCTCAGTCCTAGAACTCACACTAGGGCTCCTTCATCAACTGTCAATTTTCTGCGTGAGCTGTGTCTGGTTTTAAGACATCAGTCCGAAGACACAGACTTAAATTTAGAGTTGAAATGATTGTTGACATTTTTAATTTTAAAAAAACCCAGCCCCTTGGTAGTGTCAACAGCAATGTGATTAAGAACGGGTGCAGTAAATCAGTAGAGATGCTGAAGCCTTATGTTTAACAGGATTGTGCACGGTGATAAAAAGATTTTATTTAAAGATAAGAAAATTAACAGCTTTACTGTGTCTGTCATCTAACACAGTATAGACTATGATCCAGTTTCACCAGTATGATTCTTACTGTAAAGTATTAAAGTGTTTAGATAGTGGAATGAAATTAATTATTTTTTTACCATATAACAGCAGCATTATTCTTCCTTTACCTTTAGGGCTTTGTTTTTAATGTCAAAAAGTAATTTTCAACCACCGAAGCTAAAGGAAAAAGCAAAATGGTAGGTTAAACTCTTTCCTTTGTTCAATATTTTGTAGATAATGTGAAAAAACTATTTGTCATCATTAAAAGGAGGCAGTGAAAAACAGCGTGTGCTAGTTTTTAATTGGGGGACCTGAGAGGTGGTTTCACTTACGGGAAGTTTTACAGAGAAACAACTAGTTGCTTTTTATAGGTGTCTGAAAGCAAACGAGAGGGTTAAGGTCCAGCCGCAGATGTTTTCTGACATGACAAGCCCAGCAGCACAGGACAGGGCAGCCCTACCTCTGTAAACTGATCCCTGCCAGTGATCCGGAGGGAAATGAAATCTCCCTTCTTCCCTCCTCTTTATGTTCTAGGAAGGAAAATTATTTTTATCCTTTCCCCTTAATTCGTATTACAGGGCACTTGCCACTGTCAATGGGACAGGTAATCGTTTAATCCTTTCATGATTTCTTTAACCTGTGATACCTTCCTAGGGCCTGCAGGATTTTGTGCCACGCTTACTAACATTTTATTTCTGAGACTCAAAACCATTCTGGTATGCGGGATTTTTTACTCAATCTCTTTCCCTTGAGGTGTTTGAGTGGGCAGATGTGTGCTAGAGGAGAGAAAACACTTGTGAGTGCACGTTTCCTGTATTGAAGCCGCTCAGTGTAACACCAGCCAATGCACTTTACTGTGCCAATGTCACCTTCTGAAACACTAAGGCTAGAAGAGGAAACGTGTTTCGTAATGTGATTTGAAAGCGAGCAGACTTGGGCTAATATTGCACCCAAAGAGGCGTACTAACACAAATGCAGTTGTGAGAAAAAGGCTTGAAAAATTGTAGGTCGGGTTATAACATCAAGTCATAATTCCCATCTAAAAAGAGATGATATGACACAGTTACCTAAGTTGTTCAGAAAATAGCAACAAAGCATTTTAAAGAGTACGTTGAGTCTCTGTCTAGAACTTTATATTTTATTTTCCTACCTGTAGGCAAGAACAGTCAAACTTGTAGGTTTGCCTAGATTTTGAGGGTTTACTGGGCACATAACTCACAATTTTTACTTCTGATATCTAATTCCATAACAATTGAGACTGGAAAAAGTTGAAATAGCAGCATAAGTGTTTGGCTTATTTTCTGTAGCAAAATGTTTTCCATGCAAGTTCCATGAATCGAATGGGTTTTTTTCCTGTTTTGTTAACTTGGAAATGTAATTATTCAAACCTGAGAGGAGGTACCTGGACTACACTCTTAATTTAGCACACCCTTTTGTAATCTGTTTAGTAACTATGGTAAAATCGAAAATATCTTCTTAAAAAATTAAACATAAAACCTCATTTTTCTTTCAGGTCATCAACATTCCATAATTTTGTCAAAATAGCACTTACAAAAAATCCAAAGAAGAGGCCAACAGCAGACAGACTCCTTTCTGTAAGTGACTTGGAACATTTAGTGACATCAATAAGAGATCTGTTGCTTCAACATGAGCAACAGATCAATAGGAAACCAAACTGGAACAATTTCTCTCCTCTGCTCTTATAACATGGGTGGTGAAATCTGAAGGAAAGAGACATTGGCCAACTGTAGGAAGTAGCAAGATTTTGTTCAGTATCAAGATTTTTTTAGACAATTTTTGGTAGCAACAATTACAGAAATTTGCTTCGTGTTCTGTCTTCAGCCTTGTCCCTTCTGCAACTGGATGTCTGAGCCTCTTGGATACAGCTGCGTAGAACTTGACCCTTCCTGTCACCCAGATAGAAAACGGATATATTTAGCAGTTGTTCATGTATCTCTTTCTGCCTTCCTAAACTTGACTGAACAACTCACGTAAAAAGTGAAATTAAGGTGTAATTGTTTGTTTGACTCAGAGTTTAAGTTTCAATTTACAAGTGGGCAGAAGTGTGGCATTCCCGTGCTTATGGAGGGGCTAGAAAGTCTAGCCATTAAGGAGTCATTAAAGAAATACTCAAGCCCCCAGAAATCAGGCAAAATTCAGGAACATTCTGTATGGGATGTTTATTAGTGAAAGTTACACAGCAGTTGCATATTGTAACTTGTTCTTTTTGGCGGTTCTAGCATAGCTTTGTAGGACAGCCTGGTCTTTCAAGATCTTTAGCGGTTGAGCTGTTGGACAAAGTTAATAATCCTGACAACCATACACACTACAGTGAAGTTGATGATGATGATTTTGAGGTAAGAACATCTTTTATTTTCTGTCTTTAGGTAAAACTGTGGTTTAAATGCCCTGCTTTGCTTTGGGAATGTAAGATTGCAGCTTGACAAGGGGCACTGCTCCAGTATTTTTAGAGCTCCATTTGTAGAGTTACCATGCAGGAGAAGCCAGGAGATACTGCCACAGTGCTTGTCACACTTGCGCTGTGGGTGTATCGAAGGGTCCTGTGCGCGGGCTGGGCGAGGCTAGGACAAAGGTGCTGCTGTGTGGGACTGCAACAGCTATTCTTTCTCCTTGTTGGTTTGATTGTTAATTGAGATCCAACAGGAAGCCATGCAACTTTTCTCAGCTTTTCCCTTTATAACCCTTGCAGCCTCACTCTGTTATCCGCCATACAATTCGTTCTACGAACAGGAACATTAGGGCAGAAAGAACGGCATCGGAGATAAACTGTAAGTTCCTGCTGTGCTTTGTCCATTTTGTGGTGTTGGTTTGCTTCTACCGATGGAGGACGTCGGTGTCATTCTTTTGTTTTGCACTCTGGAACGTCTCTTCCACTGTTGGCACATTGGAGAAACAAGACCAGGAGAAACAGCACATACGCATGAATCTTCAGTCATAGTTTTCCAAAACCAAAATTAAACCGTGCATATTTTTCTGCTGTTCCGTTCCATCTCATTGCTGCATTGTAATGTTTATGTGGAAACCTTGCATGACCAGCGTAGCCTTTCAGCTCTGTGATTTCTGTCAGACCACGCAGCCTTACTTAAAACAGCAAAACCACTAATAACATGCAAACATCAAAAAATGAGAATGAATTAATAATTAGGAGGACGTCTTTTCACAGGAGTACATTGGGTGTCATGGTGTGATAAGAAAACACGGAAAAACATAGCATTTTGTGTTTGTCTGTACGTTGTTTCAAGTTCATAAGTGAAACCTTTTCTTGATCCTGATGGAGCACTTGTGATTGCAGTAGCTGTCCTGACCTGGGTGCCTGTTAACATAACGCATTTTCTTTTAATATAACCTTCTCCTCTCCTCTGTTAGATCAAAGTTGAAATTTTGAGCGTAGAAACAATCTTTCTCCAGGTTTGGACAAACGTCTTTTGTAGTGTAAATGCTATCCGCTCCTTTGCATCACGTATATCACACTTTTAGGAAGCTTCCTGTTAAAAAGCCTCTTTCTTCTATTTCACATGTGTTAAAAGTAACATGTGGTTACGAAGTTACATTTTAGTGTACTTTCATATAATAACTTGGTATTTACTTTAGGTCTGTTTCTTTCTTGTGGGTTTCATATTTGCAAATGTATGCATTTAGACAATAACACTGATATTTAAGTGATGGTCATATTTTATAGGCAAATTGTGTTGTGTACGTAATATTTAGATCTGTTCCAACATGTGTTTCACTGTAGTAAGCGCTGAAAGGGCACTAGTATAATGGCGTGTGTCTTAAATTTGAAAATGTAATGTTTTGTAGTTGATAAGCTGCAGTTTGAGCCCCCTCTAAGGAAAGAAACAGAAGCTCGAGATGAAATGGTAAGGACAAGTTTGTTTTTTCCTTCATTTATTAAAATCATAGTGTCTTCATTGTTTTGTGGTTCAGCTCTAACTAATATGGCTCTGAAGTATAAAGCCATGAGAAGACCACTCTTGGTCCTCAGACAATTGCCACATTTTTAAGAACATGAATTGCAGTCCGTGCTTTGTGCGGAGAGTCATGCTCGGACGAAAAAGATGACGTGTGCCAATTAATTTGCTAATGCGAAGAGGCCATTCTGCATTTGAGTCCCTGATCTTCCCATCATCAGGGTTTATTTGCTGCTTGTTTCTTGGAAGGCCGCCAGCTCGCATGCAGCCGGTTTTGCCCCCTGTGAGCTGCTGCTGTTTGTTCCAGCCCATAGCATTTACTGCACATCAGCTAATTAACGTTCTTTGGGATTAGTATGTGCCTGTGTACACAAGGGCTCCATTTTTTAATAAGCGTTGTGAATAGCAACAGCTGCCGTTAATTTGGATTTGGGGACATTAGCACTCAGCCCTCCAGAAAAATCCCATTCCTGTTTTTTGCAGCTGTTCACCAGGTAGGTATGAGTTCAGCTTTTTTTGAGTCTGACTGATTAAATCTGTACATGTTGTTACCAGTGGGGTCCCCTCAGAGCCATGGCTAGTGACAGGAATGCTCCCAGCCTCAGCTGATGGTATGAGTTTGGAGGTGACAGCAGTGTGTTCTCTTGCTGGAAGAGTGTCTTGGAAGTGTCCTGAGTGGAAAATCCTTACTGAGTTTTGGCCATAAATTCTTGCTTTCATGTTACTTACTGCCACTTGGTACTGGCATTACACCGTTTCCAGGTGCTGCTGTTAAGTCTAAGAAGAAGAAGAAGATAGCTTTTCTATAGGTGCTTTATAACTAGATTGTAAAACATTATTTCACTTTGGAATTTTATTTTACTGCTTATGGGTCAGTCTGCAGGGCTTGGGAATCTCCCAGGCCTCTTCATGTGTGGTGGGTAAAGTTTGACAAGGGGGGAAAAAATGAAATTTTCTGCATCTTCAGGTGGTGGCAGCTGGCACTGACTTTGCTTCACATTGGAATCCTTTTGTTGATGGTGGAAGCAGCAAGTAAGTACAGAGTTTGAAATCATCTTTTTTTTCTGTGACTTAATATGAAAATACACTCTGAAAGAAAAATTGAGCTATGGTGGAAAATCAAACCATAAGCCCTAATCCACTTTAATATTCATAAAGTTAAAGGAGATTTTACCCAATATGCAGTCCTCCTCCTTCTGCAGTTGGTTGATCATTCTCTTGGGGAATGGGTTTTAATCTCTTAACCACGAACAGTAGTTTAAGTTTGTTATAGCTCCCCAGTTGTAGATGGAAAGTGAAGCGTAAATGTATGGCCAGCAGACTGAAATAACACAGCCAAAGTCAATTTTCTGAAGCAAAGCTGGTAACTTTGCCAGGGCTGAGTTCAGGATCCTGCCCTGGCCTCGCACTTCTCTTCTGAGCCGCGGCTGTGGTGGTGACGTCCTGTGGCAAAGCATGTGCGCAGCCCCGAAGTCGGGTCCTTGCAAGAAAGGGAAGGAGAAACCAGTTCTGAAGATGTAGTTTTACCAAGTTCAGTACAACGGCTTCTGCTGTGGGCGTCTGGTTGGTGTGATCTATGATATGGCCATGTAGTGTTCTGTGACACGTTTTAGTTAAGGGTGTGCTATAACTGATTTCCCCCAGGAAAAAGCAGGCCTGAAGTAAGGGAGCACAACTCTGTCCAAGTTAGGACTGAATTTATTAGGTATGTGGCTTCCTTTTACTGCAAAATACTGGATTCTGCCTTTAAAGGCAGTCTTTGAATTTGCCGGGAGGACTATGGAAGTTCAGTAATACTGACTGATGCACCTATGTAGGTAAAGACGGTATTGCGGTTGAAATAATTGCTCAGCTAAAAGAGCCTGTTTCCCATCTTTATTTGGAACTGAGTAGCAGACAGTGAATTTCTTTGGCTTTTTTGCAGATAAAGTCTTGCATAAGCTGTCAGCTGACATTACAGCCCCCTGGAAAGCTGGCCATGTCACGGAGATTGCCAGTGGATGGGTCTTAAGTTCAACCTGTTTTTCTGTTCTCACTCTCATTGTAGTAAAAATTCGGAGTGGCTCTGTAGGCCCTGCCTCTCCCTGTCCTGTAATGACAGCGACTGCTTTCCTTCCTCTCCTGGTTTGTTTGTGTGACCCTGACGAGCTGCAGATTGAAAAGCCTTTCTTGTGGGTGCTGGCTTTTCTGCAGACAGCTGGAATCTGCGGGGTCGAGGAGCAGGGAGGGAGGGAAGCTCGTCCTGACAAAGTGACTTATTGATTTGATTCTGTTTCTTGTAGCGTTATTAAGATTGCGTATACCAGGCTGCATTAAAAGCAGAATGAATGTGGCCGTAGCAAAGGTTGCTAGGGCTATAAATTGGTAAATAGATACAGATTTAGGATTGAAAGGACAGGCATAAAGTTTCTGGATGGTGAATCCGTGCTGCTTACTTGGAAACCACTTCCAGTTTGCAAAGATAAACAGGAAACGCATAGCTCCTCTGTCCCAGCAAGTCTGAGTAACACAGGGATGTGCAGAGAGGATGTGTGCTGGGGGGGTCCTTGCTTGTCATGTGCTTTGGCTTTTATCAGTGAGTGGAGATTGGTACGCTCGACTTGGGAATTACTTGACTGGAAAGGGAAATATTGGAATGTGTACCTGATGATTGAACTTGTTTCTTGGGTTTTTTCATCCTTATTGTAGCATTTTTAAATTACTTTTTTATAAATTTTCTGTGTTATGGAGGTGTTTTTTTGTTGATGGTTGGACTTTTTCTCTTTTAAATGTTTTAATAGTTCCTGTTGGCAACTCTACTGCTTTCCCTTCAGGAGTAACTCGCAGGGAAATTTTACATTAATCCCAATTTGGCTGGGTTCGTTTTTGTAGAATATCCTTTTGTTTTCCTGTTCGTTACCCCTGTGGTCATTCCTCAGGGGGTGATGTGGTGTGTTGTGGAACGCGAGCGGACGTGTGAGGTGGTGGGATATGGGATGCCTGCTCTGCAGGCAGAGGCTCGGATGCACCGGGCTGGTGCAGGACACCGAGACAGCCAGCTCCTGACCTGCCCCTTCCACCTCACGATTCCTGAATGCGGCAGCCTAGACTTCACAGCAGCACAGCAAGCAGTGCTTTTTATTGGGTTTAGATTTATGGGTTAGATTTTTTTAAGATTTAATGCAGTTTTGAAGACACAGCTTGAAAATTGCCATTTTGCAAAATTTTATCAGTTCTTGGTTGTTTCAGGATTATATTTTCAATGCTGTTTTGATCCTCTAGTCACAATTTCTTTTTGGACCGTGGGGTAGCTTTGAAACAAAAATTCCATCTGTAGTGGGAAACAGTCTGTGTCTTCAGTGTATAACACTGAAGGAGGATAAAACTTCCCTTTGTAAAGACTTTTCTCCATTTGTCTCCCAGTAACTTCCTCTGTTCTCTTTTTTTTTTTTTTCTTCTTTTATATTGTACTTTCACTAGACATTTCAACAATATTTAAAATACCAGGTAGGGAAATGAAAGATGAGTTGATGGTATCTGGTATGGAAGAGAGCTTCAATGATTATTGGGGGTTGAGGGGAAGGAAAGAACCGTACTAAACGAAAAAGGACTTAACGCAGTGAATAAGAAATACTTTGTTTTGAAAAGGGCTAGGAAATGCTTGTTATGAAACTAAATGACATCACCGATCGGTTTAGTTGCACATGTTGACCTTAGAGCAGAGGTCTTAATTTTATAAACATTTTACCTAGGGGACTGCTTACAAAATTTGGCGATGGGAGTGAAGATGTTGAAGAGTGAGTGGACCTCCTTCACGTACAGTTGTGTTTACTCCGTGTGGCTCTCGCTAAAGCAGGCAGCGTTCTGGCAAAACCTCTTTCCTTAAAATGCTGCAGGCAGCTTTGCCACTTATAAATAAGCGAGGGCTGGTTGCACTCAAAGGCCTAACGCACGCTTGACTGTTTATCTGATCGTCAGGAGAATGTTCGCAAAGCAACGCTTTCTTCCCTTGCTCTCCTTCCTGAGATTACCTTAGAGTGCATATGGAAGTGCCCAAGACTTCAAAGCAGATTTTGTGCTGATTAATCCATCGAGGTAGTGACAGGATGTGTAGGTGTCCCTGCAGAGCTCTGGTGGGGTATGTGCTGCTCCTCTGCTGCCCAAAAAAAAAAGCTGCAAACTGCACCGAACGATGGTGAACCTCTGTCCGTTGGCCCAATGTTTGGCTGCAGTTGGAGTGGCTGTGAGTAGATGACCTTTTCAAATAAGTAGATGACTTGTTTTCAAATAAATTTAGAAAAATTATGGGAGGATATTGCTCTGTGACACGATCTACTGGCTGATCCAGAAATGCAGCATTTTCATTGTTGGGAAGAATTATCTAGAAAAAAGCACAAAAGTAAAATTCAAGCAGTGGAAGGGGGTACCTTCAGAGAACTAGTCTCTAAAAGTATATTTATTTGCTAATCTCAAATACCTTTCACCACAGAACGCTCTGTAACATTGGCATTTATGAAAGAACAAGAGTTAATCAAAAAACAACACTTCTAACAAGATTAATGTGCTTTTTTCCCACTCTTGGACTTCTAGTTTAACCCCATTCATGCAAAGCTGTGATCCGTCTTTTCTATGCATCTAGCTTGTCTTATTTGCAGTCTGTGTTCTCTAGTTACTCTGTTTCTGTTGTTGGTTTAAGTACTGCACCTTTTCATTGCAGATCAACACTAAAGCGAGCAGGGCCACCTCCGCTACCTCCCAAGGTAAGAGATGGTGGGTTTTAAGAGTTTTAGGTGGCAAACTCCACTTGTGCATCCTCTGGAGCTCTTCTGTCTGATACTCTCAGTAGTTTATAACTTCTGTTAAATACCATTTACTAGCAGACTTCATGCAGCTTCATATTTTATGCTGACTTGCAATCTGCATGTCTCAGCCTCTGGGAACTCCTGGCCCTGTACGCTGCCCTAGACAAACTGACTTGTAGGTGGTTTCCCTCTAAAGAGAGCACGCTGCGTGGGATGTCCTCTTGTTCAGCATTCTGCCTGCTGCAGTGATTTTCCATCAGAGAAGGATTATCTCTTCGTTTATGCTGCTGTCAAATGTCTTTTTTCAAAGGCTGATAATTTTTTTTTGTGTAGAAGCAGTCTGACTTGAATTAAACTTGTCTGAAGTTTATCTTTGCAGGTGCCATTTCCAAGGTAACTTTTACCTCTTTGGTTTGTTACAGCCGAGAATAAACAGTTATCCTGAGGAAAACCTCCCAGATGATGAGAAATGTCAGACAATAAAACATTTCCCAGACTCACAGAACAGAGCCCCGCCAGCTCACAGGAGACAAAGTATTCCTGTTTGTGGGCCTCAGACTGATTCTTGCCCCGTTGGTATGACCAGCAGCATCAGTAGCCCTGGATTGCTCACAGCTAGATACAGCGACTTAGGTAAATGTGTTACATTTCCTGAAGGGGATTTGCATCCTGTAAAAGAAAATCAGTTTTGGAGTCAGCTATTTTCACTAGATAATTTTTGTTTTTTTAAATACAAGCTGATCACTAGGTGCAGCTTTCCTTTTTACGTATGTGCTGGTTCTGATTCAAGCCATGACCCATGGTGGAAACGTTCTTCCCAAAGCAAGGATGTTCAGCCAGTCAATACCATTACTGTGTTGCCTGCAGGAATAGCATAAAAACAATGAATCTGCAGGGAGGCTCATCTGTGAGGACCTTCCCACAGCTTTATTCTCAGTTGTGTTTGGCCCAGGCACTGTTTGGATAATGGAAAGCCTTTATTGCTCTGTAGCTTAGCACGCAGAAGAGTGGCCAGCTGTCCTTGGAAGGGTTCGGCTACCCAAGATGTGTATATGGAAGTTTCAGAGCTCACTTCTCCACTCCTGCTAGATGCAGGGGAGAAGAGAGAACAGGGCAACAAAATATTTTCTGTTTCACCATGTCAGATGAGCTACAAAATGTGTCTGGGCTTCTTTTCAGGCAATGGGGATGGCATGCTAAAACTCATTGAAGAAAATGCAGAAGGGTCTGGACAAATCCCTCAGCTGCCACGTAAAAAAGAGAAAAGAGATTTTCCTGTAAGTATTGTGATTTCACTGTCATGTTAGCTAGCTAGTTTTGTATCGGTGCACGGGAGGTATTTTACGATCTTTGTTTCTTCCCACAGAAGCCGGCGATCAATGGTTTACCACCAACGCCGAAGGTGCTGGTAAGAAATCTCATTTGCAGCAGGAGTTATTGGAAGTCTGCTGTCATGGCATCTCTAGTGTCAGGAGGTTTATGCTAGAATAAGCCACCAGCTCATCTGGGGTGGTTTTCTGCATCTCATAGCCAGTTACTTTTCATGTACTAAATGTGAAATATTTGTTTCCTTTTCTTAAAATCTTCCTTTCACTGTGCAGTGAAGGGTTGGAGACTTCACTGGTTCTGGAGTTGTGATCTCCCCTGGCAGTCCCTGCTTAGAAAAGAGAAAGGGGGAGAGGTGGTGGTGATGCAAGAGGGTGTGATTACTTCAACATTTCTGCTTATTTTCCCTTCATAGGCCATTTATATAAGCACTCAATATTGTTCTTACCCGGTAGATACTCAAAATTGTTCAGATCATTCTGATCCCTCTTGGTGTTTCTTAATGTATGCAAAGTCCACGAAAAGGTTTGGAAGGCTGCGTTGTAGCTTTTGGGGAAAATAAAAATGTTTTGCATCCACGTATATTAGAGTAAGTTTGTGTCTGAAAACAGAGCGCAGCAGTGTGTACTAAGTGGCCAAGTGCCAGAAGATAAACGCTTTATACTGTAAACATGTTTTAGGGTTCAGTTTTGGTGTTTTTCAGATGGGAGCGTGTTTTTCCAAAGTCTTTGATGGTTGTCCTTTGAAGATTAATTGTGCAACATCATGGATACATCCAGATACTAAAGGTAAAGTTATTTTAGGTTTGTATTTTAAACCTGCCTGTTGCCAAAGTGGTAATGAGCTCGTGAAATAATTGACTTCTCTTAAATTTTTAGATCAGTACATTATCTTTGGCACGGAAGAAGGTATCTATACTTTGAATTTGAATGAACTTCACGAAGCAACAATGGAACAGGTGATTTTTGGTGTATTGGGCACACAGAATAGATTTGGGGATATTACGAGGCAAGAAAGTTGGATATTAGAGAGGACAGATGGGATACCAGGCTTTATGGCATAAAGTGATTCATAGAATCATAGAATCTCTAAGGTTGGAAAAGACCTCTAAGATCATCAAGTTCAACCAATTCACATCAAAGCCAGTGATGGTCGTCTGAAAATTAATAGTTCCCCTACCTACCTGATATTTTGTTGCTGCTTATGCAGCTAACACTGCTTTCAAATTAGTTCTTTACTAACATCTTCTCCTTGGAGACAACCGGTTGCTTACCTGCCCTTCCTCTCTCCGTTTTATCTCCACTAGATGGCATATTGCTTCTCCACTGGATGGTAGCAAAGCCCTCAGCCGTTTAATTTAGCTGGCATTGTTACCACTGATAAATATGCATTTGTTTCTGTTTTCTTGGGCTCTCTAACCCTTTCCAAAGCCACCTCATGCAATCGTGGTATTGTTACACTTGCTTTTTTAGAGTCAGGAGTAGCAGAGTATTCTTGGAAGGGAAGTGTCGACAGATGCTGATAATGAGATTTATACCTGTAGGTTTCTAAAGAAGTTCACAAAGGCATTTCTAAAGAGTGTTCAATTCAGTCAAGACATAGCAGAGGTGGTGGTGGAGTGTACCTGTGAGTAATAGTGAGAGAAAGATGATTTCACAGAAAGGGCACTGCTTAAGAGGAGAAAGTCCTCAGTTTCTGGGAGCATCATGCTAGAGGACAGAACTCGAGAGGGGCAAAAGAAAAGGGGAAGAGGTGCAGCAAGGTCATGGAGGGGCGTAGTTTGGCACAGACAAACACGAGAGAAGGTTATAAAGGGTCTGATGGGTGAGAATTGGGAGTTTGAATTCAATACAGTTAAAAGATCCTTTCAAGTTAAGAGAGCTGAGGGTGCACCTGAATGCAGTGGGATAGTGTCGAATAGTTTATCTTTTTGTAGCCTCAATGGACGTGGGGAACAACTACTTACTTTTATAATAAATGTCTAAAAATTGTGGCGGCAGCTGTTGGAGACCCCCTGACCTTCTTACCACAATTCTCTCTTTACTCCATTAGTCAAAGCAATCTTTTTCCTTGTACATTTTCCTAAATTATTTAATGTAACAGTCTTCTCTGGACTCTTCCACCTGCTTTTTTATATCCCATCAAAAGGTTAGATGTGCCGGTGGAAGGTAGAGAGAACATTCAATGCACCCCATAAAGAAAGTTTCCTTTTCTGTGAGAGCATTCTCAGTTGGCAGGAGTCAGGTGTGAGCTACTTCAGACCCCAGAGCCTTTACCGCAGTGCTTCTGCAGCGCCACTTGTTTTCTTATTTGCTTTTATTCGTCTCCTGATTTCTCCTCACCAAATGCACATTTTTAACAATTTCTCCAACTTGCGATTCTGATCGCATCTTCCAAACTGCTCGCTGTCTCTCCAAGGGTAGTATCTCCCAATTTCAGAAATATATGTTTGTTCCACTGATAGTTTTTCTGTGAAAACACTGAATAGAACCACACTCAGAGAAGACACTGTGTATCTACAGGCTGCTTTTTCCTTCTATTAAACAGCAAATTGCTGATAGATACTCTGTTTTTATGTCCTACCAGTTGTATGTTTGCTTTCTGCAATTTCTTCTACCCCATATTTTCTTATTTTGCATGTGAAAATGGCATGCAGGGCAAGGTTCTTCACGTATGTTTCACATCTTACTGGTTCCCTGCCCCCAGCAGAGCAGTTACCCTGTTAAAGAAGGAAATTCAGATGTTCAGATACAGCCTGTCCTGCACATGTCTACACTAGCTGCTCTTGTTACCCCTTGGTCATTAAAAAGTGTGTGGCTTGTTCCTGTGCTACGCTGGATATCCAGTCAGTCAGTGAGATTATTTTGCAATTCCCACCACCCGTTTTATTTGGCATAGTTACTGTGTTTGTCCTCGTTCGTCCTCCATCAGTTCTTGAAGATTATCGTTACTGAGACCTTGGGGTTTGAGCCAGTTCTTAAGTGCTGTAAAGTAAACTTTATTGGGACCTGCTGACAGGAGTATATATATTGACTTATGTTGGTAATTTGATTTGAATCTTAGCTGTTCTTATGTTTCTTCCTTCAGACTTATCTTGTGATTGCCTCTTTGTCCTTAGCATTGCGTCCTTGTTCCAGTTTTCTGTATTTGTGATACTTAAGGCATGGGTTGGGGGGGGAAATAAGAAATGCTTACCCATCTTGGGGTGGCTTGGAGAGGGTTCATGGGGAACAACTATTCCCCTTCTCTTCTGGTGGGGCCATGAAATGAAGCTACTGGGAGCCAAATTGAAAATAAACTGGAACTTTTTGCTATGGGGAGTTGCAAATGCTAGGAGTTACCTGAGTTCAGATGGGAGACTGAATAAGTTTGTGGAGGATAAATCCATTGAAGCTCACTAAATGCATAAAGCCCGTGTGTGATTCAGCAGGTTTCTGAGCTGAATGAAGAACTTGGTGCCTGAAAAAGTATTAGGTGCAGCATTATATACTTTTTTTTTCCCATGTTTTCACCATTTTTAGGAGAAATTGTATCACTTTGTGGTGACTGTTGGAAACAGGTATTGGGTTAGATGGACGTATGCATGAAGCAGTAAAATCATTCTTTCGCAGAGCCTTGATTCAAGCATCTTTGCAACAGCTTCCCTCAGTAGACCAATCTGCTCTTGTCTTTTTTTACTGTTCTCCTTCAGAAACAGCTTAATCCTTTGAACTCTTTTTTTTTCTTACTCAAAATTTTTTTCTTGAGGGAGGAACTTACCTAAGAACACTATTCAATAAATTTAGTCTTGTCTTTCTTTTTCTTTTAACAAAATCCCTGGCCTTATTCTGTTGCCCTTCTTCCTTCCTTTGTTGAGATTCCTGAATGCTGTCATTTGCCATCACTTTTATCAAAATTCCCTTCAGGTTGTCAAGAGGTTTTTCTTAACTTTAAAATCTTCTCAAATCTAGATTAGCTGCCCCATGAGTCGCTTCTTCCCTCTGAAACAAAACTAAGTCCCAATACCTTCCATGAACTGTCTGTTTACAAAGCAGCATGCTGTCACAAATAGCCAGGCAGGTAAGTCCCACAAAATACAGGATTTTGTGGAAATTGAAGTTGCTGAGAAAATGCCTTTTTTTTTCCCCTCTCTTTTGACTTTTGTGGGGTTTTGTAGGTTTCTGTAATAATGTTATCTCTCTTTCTCTTCCAGTCTTACCAGTTGTCCCATTTTGGCTCTGTGCTGCTAATTAAAAAATGAAAAAATCCCCTGAAGTTTGAAAGTTTCAGGGGTAGAAGAGGGAAGGAATGAAAACTATTTCAGACAGAGAAAAGGGCTAAGCAAGGGTCCAAAGAGTGAATTAAAAGGGAAAATGTAGTTGCAGCTGGGACTTTCTCCATTGTCGATCCCTGGGGGGAAAGGTGGCAGAGGTGGAGCAGGCAGAGAAAACCACAGTTAGAAATTCCTCTAGCTTTGTATTAACGGAAGTATTTTCTTTCTTCAGTTATTTCCCCGAAAGTGCACCTGGCTGTATGTTATCAATAACACCTTAATGTCCTTGTCAGGTATGTATAAATAGAGGGAAAATTAATAAAATTATAAATAAAGAGAAACATTTAAAGTCGTAATTCAGTACGATGTATTTTGATTGTACTGAAGTAGAAAATGGTGTGTTGTTTCTTGTGTTTGTATAGGAAGCTTTGCTTCAAAAGTGGTTTAATGTGAAAGGTTTTCAGATATATATGAAATACTACTAATCCAGCAGATAGATTCTTGAAAAAAAATGTATTTTTCAGTAGTTGTCCTGGAATAGGACATTCTAGATAGGAAACTGAGGCATTGGGCATGCAGACTAATTGTAGGACTGTGCCTTTAAACATGCAGGGGTTTGTGTCACACCTCTTCTGTTGCTTTGTAGATAAAGAAGATGTCCTGATAGAATTAATTGTTGGTGTATAATTACAGCCTTCTAAAAATGTGTACCTAAAACTAACTTTCAGAGCTGCTTTAGTGTTACTGAAACAAACTTTGAGTTGAATGCCATGTCTTCTCTATATGCATTATTATTGTTGTCTTGCTTTATTTTTCTTCATAACTGGACTTGAAATATCTGACACGTGTGCTCCGCCTCTTTAGAAGGTAAGTTTCTATACATACATTTTTCTAAAATGTGCAATTCTCTGCTGGAGGCACGGGTGCGATATCAGTTGTGCTTTTCTCTTTTGCAGGGAAAACGTTCCAGCTCTACTCCCATAATTTAATAGCTTTGTTTGAACAAGCCAAAAAAACAGGATTAGCTGCTCATATTCAAACCCATAGGTTTCCTGACAAAATATTACCAAGGTACAAATCTTACACTTACAGACAATTATTAACAAGTGAAAATTCCCATAAATACTGTTTGCGCTGTTGAACTGGTAGCATGAAGGACCTTCAGCATCTCTTACTGATGCCTTTTTTCTCAATTGTCATTCTAGGAAGTTTGCCTTAACGACAAAGATCCCTGATACAAAAGGATGCCACAAATGCTGTATAGGTGAGTAGGCGTTCTGTTTTGCAGGTGTTTTCCTGCTCTTTGTTGTTGGGCATGGCCTGTCATAAACTCATTTCTTTTTAATAAACTTATAGTTAGTTCATTGTTCAGAAAACAGTATGACTGCACTATTTCTTAATGCTGTGCCTAACTGGTGCGTAGCTTTCCTTTTAATTAATGTGAGGCTCTTTTTGCTCTCCAGTGGAAAAGCATTTTTCGTATCAGCAGTTAGCCTATAAATGTTGCTGGGCAGAGCGAGGTCCGAAGGGGAAGCCTGGAGAATGCCAGTAGCATGCAGCTGACACCACGCTGAGTGTCGCACACTCTCTTTGAGAGCTCTCTTGGAAGCTCTTGGTGACTAAGTCGATGTTGGGCATCACTGGCTTCGGGCTGCCACCTGAGCCGCTAGTCACTGTGATATGCAGCCTGCCTGCGAGCGTAACGCTTGTTACAGAATCCCAGACTTGTTGCATGTACAAAAATACCCTTTCTGGTTTGCTGGTTTAGCTCAAGCTTTGACCTAGATCCAACTTGGAGTGAGGCTAACTTGAATATTTTCCATGAAGAAAAGGCTGGACATGAATAAAAATTATGTCAGACTGGGGGAGGAGCGAAGCCATCACTCAGGTTCTAATTGCGCACAAAAGAGTTAAAGCTTGTGGAGTTACAGATTTGTCCTTGGCTTCACTGACTTTCAAAAAGGTTTGGGCTTTCTATGGAATGCACATCGTTTTGAAAACTGGTGCTGTGTGAAATTGTACCTTTTCACTCTCAAAAATGCTCGAGCAGAGTATCAAACTTGGATATATCCTATTTAGCTCATACAGAGTGTCTGCAATAGGCATATTTACAAATGATTCCTGAAGTCAGGCTGGTCTCATGTCCAACTGAACTTAAAAAAACCAAACCTCAAACCTTTATCACGTTACAAAGCTCACAAGAAGTTACAGGCCATCTTCACTGCTTGGGAATATTTTTTTTTATTTAAATCACGACTTGAGCCGGACCTTTCGCTCCCCTTGCTCACACAGCCCCAGGAAGAATGTGTTACAGCTTTTCTGGCCACACAGCGAGTGGCCCCTTTACTGGGACTCAAGGAATGCTAGTGGTTATTAATTGTAAGTGTAATTGAATTTACCTGGAATGTAGCACAATGTTAGTCACTGTGGCTATTTGATTGGCAAGCTAAAAGGCCATTAGTGTGAAACTGATGCTATTTCTTAAATTATTTGCAAAGATAGCTGTAGGATTTTTTTCAAGTATTCATTGAACTTCCAGGTCTTAAAAAGGGTTGTTTTCTGGGTGTTTTTGTTTATTTTACATAGTACGAAATCCGTACACAGGACATAAGTACCTGTGTGGCGCGTTGCAGTCTGGAATTGTTCTACTACAGTGGTATGAGCCAATGCAGAAATTCATGTTAATAAAGGTAAGTATTTCATTTTAGTTTCGAACATTTAATCTTAATCATCATACAGTTGTTGAAATAACCTTTCCAGAATTTGTAATGGAAAGTACATCCAAGGCTAGTCCCGTTTGTGGGTTCCGAGCACTTGAAAATCTGGCTTGACACATTTTGACTAAGAAAATCTTGTGACTGAAGTCAGCCAGTCAAGTGTGGGATCAAGCCCAGAACTAGCAATAACATTATACCTCTGCGCAACATAATGTTGCTCGCAGCTCATGCTGTCTTAAAAAAGCACTCTTAGTAGCAGGGAAAATTCTTCCATATCTTTTATATTTTGTGCATGTTATTTTAGGCTTCTTCTTTCCAAGGTAAAAGGAAACTTTACAAACGCCTTCTTTTGTTTTTTCCAGCACTTTGATTTTCCTTTGCCAAGCCCTTTGAATGTGTTTGAAATGCTAGTGATACCAGAGCAGGAGTACCCGATGGTCTGCGTAGCTATCAGTAAGGGTACTGAACCAAATCAGGTAGTTCAGTTTGAGACAATCAACTTGAACTCTGCGTCTTCATGGTTTACAGAGATTGGTGCAGGTAAGACTGTTGGTCTGTCTTGGAGCCGGTTTATTGTCTGGTAACTGTTGGATATCCCTTCCTCAGATGTTATTTGGAAACCCTTTAGGCTAGGCACAGTGATGCAGCTTCTCTACCTAACGCATATTAAAGCTGATCCCAGGTTCTTCTTGTGATGACCTGCCAACTTCAGTATATACTCTCTTTCTTTAAAGACTTTTATTTCATAAATTTCCTTAACCAGTAATGCAGACCCCGCTGATTGGGTTCTCATTTGTGGTTGCATACATTTTCCTGGGATCAGTCTTACTCCTCTTTCCCCTTCTTTCCTGGGTAAAGACTCACATAAATGTGTTCTTGTCTGTCCTCCAGTCCTTGGGGGAGGCTTGTCATCTTCAGCTGGCTAGTAATAAGTGGAAGATTTTGGTTTATCTTCAAAAGCTCGTTGATATCTTGCAGATGCTTTTCTCTGCTGGCTTTGTTGCATATACTTTTTTGCATTTACGTACTGCTTTTTAGCAGCTGTACCAAGAACTTCATTAATTAAAAACTAGGAAAACTATTAAATCTAGTTTAATATCAGCACAATAATGTTTCCAGATGTGGATTTATGGGAAAAGAGCAGTTTTTAGGAGCAAAGATTCCCTTGATGATTCCTTTTGTTCATTATCGTGCCTTTTCATGAAGGAAGCTGACTTGCTGTGCTGAACTGTAACACAAAATGTCTTTTATGCCAATAAACAGTAGTGCTTTCATATTAAATACCTGCTTTGAACTGATGGGTTTGTCCTTAGGCCCTGTGCTCCTCCCAGAACATTCTGGGATCATCTAACCTTAAAAATATTTAAGAGTAACGAATATTGTAGATTGCAAAAGACTCGTAGCATATTGAAGTAGCAGGTGGTGAGAGGTTGAGAGGAGGCTGAGATCAGTCTTATGATGTGATATAAAATAATCTGTTTCCTTTTTCACAAGGCAATCAGCAGTTAGATGCCATTCACGTAACACAGCTGGAAAGAGACACTGTCTTAGTCTGCTTGGACAGTAAGTAACACATCTCTGTTACTACACCTTGTGCAAAACTTGTTTTGCAACAGCGGTTGATTTTAACTCTATCACAAGTTAATTTTTCTCCCTTTGTTACTAATTTGCATTGTAATATTTCCAAAAAGATACAGTTCAGATAAGTGGGGTTTCATTTTGACTCTTGTGGTTCCAGTTTCCCTCTTCACATGTGTATCATTCTTGTTGCTTTTCAAAATGAAATGTGGTGCAGCATTACAGATCAGAATTCAAGTATACACCAATCGGAAATTTTCAAAATTTACTTGGAAAAAGGGACATTTGCCTGTTGCATATGCTAGCAGGAGAGATAGCCAAGACTCCATCACACGCAGTAGTTATAACCATAGCTCACAGGCATCAGAGGTTAGTACCTCAATGGGAACTTTGCAATGGCTTAGTCTGCCTAGGTTTCCAGCCTTCGTGTTGAATTCACATTTCTGCACTGTTTGTTATTTGCAGGAAGACTGCCAGTAGAGTCTAAAACCATACGAAGTGTATAAGAAGGTTTTCTGTATTTATTTTGAGAGAAGGATGCTCTTGGATTTGTTTTAGGCACATACTGTAGATGTTAGGTTTGGCCATTTCTTTGTACCTGAAAGATGAAATTAGTATTTCATACTTAAAACCATCAGTAATCCTTTTCAGCAGTGGGTTTTAATACTTGTTTTTCTGTTTTTCTTGAGAATTTGTGAAAATTGTGAATTTACAAGGGAAATTGAAGTCAAGCAAGAAATTGGCCTCCGAGCTGAGCTTTGATTTCGGCATTGAGTCAGTGGGTAAGTGATTTGCTTCTCTATTGTCTCCCAAGGACTTAGAGAGATGAGTGTTGAAGGGTTTTTAATAATCTAGATGGTTCTAGTGCACCCAGTGGGGCCTGGCACTAAAAATGACGTGTCAGGATATTGTGAGCTGTCTCTGCCTCCACTGCCATGCTGAAGTAAGGCAGTTGCCAGATAGTGTGTCCAGTCTGCGCGTGTTTCCCTCTGGTGTCGTTTCTGTTTTCTAAGTAAGATGGTTGAAAAAAGGCTGACTAATTTCTGGTCATTTCCATAGCACTGAGAAAAACCTTTGGGAAGGAAAAAATGTTTTAGTAATACATAAATTTGTGTTAGTCTTCTAAAAGCTAAGATTCTATTTAAAGTGATAGCACATCCATTTTTTAATAGGCAGGGTAATAGTATTTGAATCTAATTCTTAGAGGGCAGGCTGCTGTCTTTGAACTACTAGAGGACAGCAGCCTTGCTGCTAAAACTTGAATTGTAATTGTCAAGTATTTCTGCTGTAATAAGCTTTCAGAAGTATCTAATTAACATCAGTTTAATAATTCCATATCTCAGAAACTGAACTTCTTTCTGGAATCAAAATCAGTAAAGCCATGACTTGTTTTTGTTAGCAGTTCTGTACAACTTGCATTTCTGGGTTCCTCGGGCGTCTTCCCTCTGGAGGAAGATCCTTGACATGGGTATTTTGGATTTTAACAGCAGTTGGTAAAGCAGTGCACATCCTTTTGTACAGCATATGTCAGACCCATCCTGAAGGAAGATGTTTTTAATCAAACCTGTTTCTTCCCTCAATTCTGACATGTTCTAATTAACTGCTGTACTTGTATCATAGAGTATCTCCTGCCGACGCATGCGTAATGTCACTTGACCATTGCCTTTTCCTTGAACTCTGAAGGAATTCATAGACAGAAGCATTTATCCCCAAGTCTTGCTCTTACCAGCTGACATTGAATAATTTGAGCAGTTCTTTACATTCCAAGTGGTCTCTTGGGAATTCAGGGTATTAAACAACTCTTCATTCTCTGATTGCAGGGTGGAGAGAGGAGCAGCAGGTGAAGATTAGTCTAAGGCTGCTGTGACAAACTTGTGTTGCTCTTAGGATTCTGCTGAATGCCTTTGTTATGCGTATTTGGGACACGGCTAATACTGAGCAGATATAAAACGTGACTTGAAGAGTAAAGTAGGATGTAGGAAAATAAACCACGATGTAAAATATGTTTCTGTAACACTGTTTAAAGAACACCAGGCTTTTTGTCCATTATTTTCAGCTGTCTGGCAATTCAGTCGTTCAGAGCTGGGAGCTTTCTGTGTTCACTCTTTGGCCCTGAATAGAAGACTCCCATTTTTCATACATCTATTTTGAAGCAAATATAATGACTCAAATGATCTGTAATTTCCAGCACCCCACAGTGTTTTGGTTGGCAGCATGTTTATATACTTCCTGATGTTTTCTCCAGAATCATTAGGAAAACAAAGATCCAGAGAATAGAAGCGAAAGGGAGAAAAGGAAAAAACCAGAGATGCCTATCTTTTCCTGGCAGACAGGGAATGTCTGAGTGGTACGTTTTGAACTGCACTTTAAAAAGGAATATGCGTCTCAGATCAAGATAGTCATTTCAATCCAGTTTTTCTACAGTGATTTTGGAGTTTGGTTCTTCTACCAGAAGTCCAAGTCTCACCACACACTTTCTCCACACGCTTCCCATTATCACTGGTGGGAACTCCAGGTTTCCTCAGTTCAGACAAGCCGTGCTCAGGTCTGATTTTGTGTTTCTCCTTTGCAGTGTGCCTTCAGGACAGTGTGCTGGCCTTCTGGAAACATGGCATGCAGGGCAAAAGCTTTAAGTCGGATGAAGTAAGTAATCTCCGAGTCTGTCCAGGTTTAATTTCTTCCTGTTCCATATTTACCACTTGATCTTTTGGCCCCTCTAGCTGCTCCCCTGGTGATAATGCTTGTGCCCCGTGTCGTCATTGCTTCAGCTCGCTGGTGGCTTTCTCTGACTTGCCTGTGTACGTTGCTTTTGGTAAAGTTCACACACATGCTTTAGCCAGCTCTTGTTCAAAGAATATCAGTCAGAGACTCCTGAACTGGTTCTGCGCAGAGCCAGTACAGATCTGGTGTAAGCAGCACTTGGGTCTCTTGGATCTGGGATGAAAAGCTCGAGTTGGCAGCATCCCTTTAAAATATAAAAAAGACACTTTTTTTTTTTTTTAAAGTGTTCCTTTAAAAGTTTCCTTTTTTTCAAAAAGAACTCTGTCCTTTTTGTTGGCATCCGCTGTGAAAATGCAGGGAAAGCTAGTCAGTCTCTGCTGACAAAGATTTGATCAGCAGACTCCATCTGTGCCATCAAGTCATCTAGACTGATAACAGTCTATAATACCAAAATTATTTAAAATAAGTTGTATTTTATGAAATTTAAAATTCTTTTTTGCTTAGCATCAATTTACCGGATTCAGTCCTGTAATTTGCTCTAAATTGTATTTGAATTTGTGAAGAGACTGATGTGGGTGGTTTTCCCCTTCCAACTCAGACCAATAAATTTCATTTTGCCACTGAATGGACCTAAATTTACAGGTTGCCCAGAGAGGTTGTGGAGGCCCCATCCCTGGAAGTGTTCAAGGCCAGGTTGGATGAGGCTTTGGGCAACCCAGGCTAGTGGTCAGGGGGTTGGAACTAGATGATCTTTGAGGTCCCTTCCAACCCAACCATTCTATGATTCTAAATGTCTCTGTTTTTCTACAGGTTACCCAAGAGATATCAGATGAAACCAGGGTTTTCCGCTTACTGGGATCAGACAGGTAATCACCTTGAAGAAACATAAACTTTTTATTTTATTTAAACCAGCTTTCTAGCTTCCAGCTGGAACTGGCTTCCAGCCCACTGCAGATCTCTCTGTAGGCAGTCCTGGGGGAGGCAGTAACACTGTTTCTGCCTGCAATAGCCAAAAATTTAATTAGTGATTGCATCTGCGTCCAAAATTATTACTAAGAGTGCCTGTGACCTCCCCCACTTTCCACCGCAGTGATCGAAGTGTGAACACAAACACAAGGGTATAGAGATACAGCATGAGGAGGTAAGTGACAGGGAGAGCTGAGAGCCGCCTGTGGCTTGTGGTAAGCAGGGTGCCCAGTGCTCTTCTGGAAAAGCCTGCTTCTGGCTTGGGTTTTCCTGGTGAACTGGGGAATTATCTTGACAGGTAGTTACTTAGAAGTAACTTTCACTGCTCTGGACCTTGAGGTCTGGAAACAGCAGAGCAATCTAGATCACACACGGGTTTTAGTGCGTGGTGGTCTAAATTCACCCGTTACCCGTAACATCGGTATGATTCCTTTCAGCTGCAGAGGCTGGGAAGAGGTGCAGCTGCCTCCAGGTTTGAAACCTTAGTGGGAGCTGCCCCAGTCTCCGGATTTGGACAGGTGTGCTTGTGGTTTCTCAGATAGCCAGAGTGCTAAATGTAGAAGTAGATAGTAATGAGTCAAGAAATCAGTTCTAATCCCTGATCTTCTGCTCTCATTTGGCCTTTGGGAAGCCTGGCTCTGACTCGCTTTCTGTAAGTAATCCATAGTTTTGTGTACTTATATTCAGAAAGAGAGTGAGATCACACTAGCTCTTTTGAAGAGGAGAGGTAGTCTGTACCAGAAACACCCAAAGTTTTTGCTTTGCACCTGAGTCACGGAGGACCTGAGTCACTGTACTTGATGACCGCAGTTGGAATTGAGGATCCTTGCCACTGCTGACTCCGAGATCTCAAAAATATAAACACAGTGCAACCTCTGACAGTGCATACTCTGCCTTTTCTCTCTGTTAACCCCTCGTGCAGACAGGGGTTACTCCCAGCAGAGCAGAGGACATTTTATTGCAAGAACGAGCTTTTGCTAAGGTCGGCTGCAGTACAGACGCCATATGTATTAGTCCAGGTATGTGCTGTGCCACCATCAGTGAGTCCGTCTCGCACAGTGGAATTGGTACCTTTAAATGGCTCATATTTCTGCATTGGGCTGGTAAACACAGGAGCATCTTAAACATGCAGAGGGATGGGAAGCAGCATCTCTACTGGTTCAGCTTGCACTTTTGTAGAAGACATACATATCTGAATCACAACTTATTACCAAGCACTTTTGGGGTTGGAGATAAGGTTGAAGCCCTGCTGCTGCGTGCAGTTTTGCAGAGAAGCCATTTTCTTCCGTTCTGATCTCATTGAACTACCAAATCCTTTGTTTTGTATTTTTCCGTCTCTGACAAATGGAGCAGGAGTCTTTTCTGCCATTCAAGTGAATGAGGTGTGGTGGCACCTTTTTGGCTTGGATCCCTTAAAAAAGCTGAGTGTCAGAGTGACAATCAGGGACAGAGGCTGTTAAGAGTGAGATTTCATTTAAAACTCTGAGGAATGTGACATGGAAAGGGAGTATGAGCAATGCTAACTCTGAGACAGGCTCCCTTTGAGAAGTGTAACTCTGAGTTCAAGTGGCACATTTGGCTTTTGATACACAGGTAGAAAACAAAAAGCAGAGGAAAGCTGAATCTTAAAAATTATGGGATATTGTCCTAGGAACTGGTGCAGAGAAGGGCAGGAGCAAAGCAGTTGGAAGGGAGAGGGGAGGTCCATGGCCCAGCCATATCAGCTGCTGAGATGATTGTTGAGGTTCAGCATGGGATGGATATGTAAAGATAGCGGTCAGTGTGCCAAGATGGGGAGAAACAGGTTTCCCAGAGGAGCCTGCAGGAACATGATCCAGCAGGACGAAGGCTGAGGTGGGGTTGAGTGTTCCCTATGAACCCATTGGCTGATAAATATTTAGCAGGGAGGAGAACTGTTTAGCTTAGTGGCTGATGCTTATCACAAGATGTTGGAGGTATAAACATATTCGGGCTGCAGATGATAGGAGGGTTGCGTCTCCTCACAGCACTCTGGCTCTGAGATAACTTCCCAGTAGCAGCAGAGGACATAGCTAATTTCACGGTGGACGATGTTGGCTTGGAAGAGGTTTGTAGCACATGGCATGCGCCTGTGGTTGAGAGGGGCAGATTCTGGTTCAAGAAGCTGCTTGTAGTCCTCTGTTCCTTCTATATTCTGCTTTAGTGTTTTTATCAGAAATTATGCTGGAAAACAAGGTAAATGATTTAAAGAATAAAATACCCAAGGTATTTAGGAGAACCTATATCCCTCCAATCTGTAGAAACCTGTGAGCAACAAGGTTGTTTCTCCTTGGTAATTATACCACGTGCTTTGTGTTTTGCCACTAACCATTTTGGATTCTGTTTGTGTTTGATTGCAGAGTGGTAGTGTTAGAAAGCAGGCCAACAGAAAATCCGACTGCACACAGCAATCTCTACATCTTGGCTGGACATGAAAATAGTTACTAAGCAACAGTAACCTAACGCAAATAACAGAGTGAATTCGCCACATGAGGAACAAAGAAGCATTAGGAAACTCAGTACAAGCGGGACTGTGACTTACTGTTTCTTGACGCCTAAATGATGTTGTTTTAGGGTGGATATCAATACATTTTTGCAGCTGGGAACAGCTGGTTCTGTCTCTTGCCACTGTGTGGTCGGTTATATCGAGTTTGCTTAATAAAAGCTATGAGATAAATAGTCCTTTACTCATTAGTTCTAGGGAAACAGAGCCTTTAAAAATGTTATGCAGTAAAGGTGCCATAAACTGTTAAATATTTTACTTCCCTTGGATTTTCCTTATATTCTGTAGATATAGGTATAGTGCTGGCTGTTTCCCTGTTTTATACTGAGTCTTATTCTTAATAAAAAAAGATTTGTGTAGGAAGTGAAAGTATCTGCAAAGCTTTTTGGTTTTAAATCTGCCATTCAGTATGGCTTTGTATAATAGACTATTTAATCCTTATTTATTAATCTGCTGCTAGAATGGTGTAATGTATCTAACTTTTAGCAAAGGAAGGTTGCAGAGCAGCTTACAGGTTTTTTTACAGTTGTATAAAGATTTGATTATTCTTTTTTCTTGTAGGGATGTAGTGCATTATTGAGGGGTATGTTACAATGTTGGTTGATCTTGTAAAAATGCAGTTTTGTACAACAAAGTATTTTGTATTGATTTTCTGCCTGCAGAATTGCCATAAAAGGGATTTTTCTTATTTACTAGATGTAGGGGGTGTGTACACAAAATATAATATTGATTATCAGACATGTTGCTACTGGGTGGGTGTGTACAATATACATGTGTGTGTGCATGTGCGCATGTGGGTTAAGTTGACCGGCAGTGTGTATTTTTTTTATATATATATATATTT